TACGGTACTGTGTCCCTGCCTCGCTTCTAGGTTTTGTGTGTGTGTGTGTGTGTGTGTGTAATATCATATCACAGTCATTGCCCCTATGTTGCTATAGACTCAGTAACTATTATTTTCAATAGTTACTAAATACCCCTTATGTGGCTCACCATCTCTCCCCGCCCCCCTAACCTAGCAGGATGTCTGCCACCAATGAGTCAGTGTTGACAAAAGCCTAGGTATGTAACAAATTAATCCTTCCCTGGTCTTGAGAAGCATAGGTTCTTTTTCTGTTGTCTTGATTGGACATGGTCCGAGACACACCGATTACCCTCTGAGGATAGGGTCCCAGGGTGGCATTGCTGGACCAAAAGGGCCCCCCAAACTTCTAAAGCCGAAGCCCTCCTCCCCGTCCGTGTCCTGTGCACGCTGGTAATTGTGCAGAGGGTAATAATTTGCAATTGATTAAAGAGTTTGTGGGGTGTTTCACCACCCCCTATCTCCCCTCGCCCCCTCTCCCTCCTCCTCCCTCCTGCCCCAAAGGGGAAAAATTATCCGAGAAGGTGAAGATGTTCGCAGACAATCAGATTAACATATTCTAACAATCGCAATTTGCAAAATAGTAATCACAACTCCCGGATCAGGAGCCGTTAATCAAAGCTGCAGGTTTAATTCCATTTTAAATATTGATGAAATGTGCCTGGCAGCCTCACCCTGGTGTGGCCGGGCCAGGGGAGCTGCAGCGACCAACAGCCTGCCCAGGGGAGGTGGAGGGAGGGGTGGGGAGCAGCTGCCCAGAGGGAAGGCATCTGCGATTCAAATTGGTGGCTGGGCGGCCAGGTAGAGAGTGAAAGGGGTGGTGAAGAGGGCTGTTAAGTCCATTGCTGTCAATTTGTAACAATCAGGGAGGGGCCTGGAGACTGGTTCAGCACAATAAACCCAGTTTGTCTGGTTTCAGGGGTTACCACTGAAGAGGTTGCAGCTGCACTGATTCGAATAGCCTGGAGACTTCAGAACTGTAATTATCAACCAGGCTGCTCACAGTGTGGCAAAAGTGGGCTTCACCAGCACTTAACTCCTTGTGTGCTGACGAGCTCCTGCCGCTCTCCCCCTGGTTGCCTCCCCATGGGGGCCGGGGTGGGGGTGGGGGGCACTGCTCCCCGGCCAGACTCACAGGCCAGGCAGTGACCCCACAGAGGAAGAGTAGGGGCCAGGGCAGGTTGACCAGAGAATGAAACCTGCCTCTGTGCCAGGCACCACTATGTGTGCCCTGCGGTGGGGCGGCTGGGCCTGTGCAGCCCCATGAACTTGGTCTGAACTCTATCGGCGGTGTGGCATGGCATGGGGCCTGGTCCACGGACTGACACGATGCTGTGCTTGCCAAGCACTGAGCACACAGTAGGCTGCCAGCAAGCACCTGTCTCCCAAGCCAGACCAGGGCCTTTCACAGAGGCAGAAGAAGCCTGATCAGGGCATCGGACCGGGAGGGCTGGCTCCCTGCGGGTCCTCCAGGTTTCCTGCTCTGGGGAGATGTCCTCATCCTGCAGCTTCTGCCAGTTGGGTGGGCAGTGCCAGGCACCTTGTGGGCTACAGGCCTTGGGCTAGGGGTGGGGTTAAAAGAGGATAGGGGTTTGGGCAGCTCTGTTTGTACCCCTGAGAGGGTGGGCAGGTGAGCACAGAGAGGCTGCACGGGCAGTCCTGGTGCGTGCGGGCGTGTACATGACCCCACCAGACCCCCCTGGTACCTGCGAGGGGGTGTGCTCGAGCGAGCGTGTGTCGCGGAGTGGTTCGTGCAGACAGGGACTTCCAAAGGCAACCCAGGAGACCACCACTGCAAGGGTGGTCTCACAGTGGGGCAGAAGAAGCCCCCTGTGGAAGACTGAGAAGCAAAGAGCTAGCTGCACATGCAGGGCAGGAATAAAAGCCCAACGCCCAACGCTCTGACGCTGACTGTGACTCACAGCGACCTTAGACGGTGAACGTGGTGCGTTCACTGAAAAAAAAAAAAAAAAGGAGACACAAAGAAACAGCACAATGCCATTTGGGTAAATTAAAAACACATGCACACACAAAACAGCAGTACATATTCTACATGCATTTTCAGGGGTGTATACACCACCATTAGAGTGGGATCCTGTGGCAGGGGTAGGGGTGGGGGAAATGTGGGTTTGAGCAAAGAAAGGGAAAAATAAAACTGAATCCACAGAGGGGCGTAGGCAGAGAGGGGATGCTAGCGTACTGAGGCCCGAGGAGAGACGCCCTCGGCTCTGGATTCAAGTTTTGAGAAGTGGCTCCCATTTTGTAGCCCTGGTCCAAGCCCTGCACTCACACACGTACTGAGCCAGTGGGTGGGACCCCGCAGAGCCTTTGTTTTTCTCATCTGTAAAATGGTGGGAGTGGCTGGGCCCTGTCCGGTGGTCACAAGGAATAAATTAAGTAAGCTAGACTCGGTTCTTCTGCTCTGGCTCCTCACTGCGCCCCAGGGCATGAGCCAGGCTGCGGGGCTGGGGG